ATCTGACTTTCTTTGTGCTCATCCTTCCAGAGATCCTTTGCAGGCTGATTATTACATCCATTGATTCTGTGGTCACTGCTGCTATTTCAGCAACAGATGGCACCCTAAGCTGAGGTTTACCACAAGTCTACGGTTGGAGTAGAGGGAATTCTGAGCACATTTTTTTGTGTGTCCATAGTTGTTATGTTCTTTTGGCCCAGAGGAACTAGAGCAAAGCCTAAAGGGGTCCATTTCATTCTGCACATTTTTCTCTGGGTCCAGGGAAACTCTTGAGGTTTTATTCATGGTCATTAGCTTGGGGAGAGTCACTATGTGACTGCCTAGTGCTGGGCTTCACCCTGGCAGGTCCAGCACTGGGTTCCAGGGCCATGTCTCGTGCCTATTTCTCTTTCCTTGTCCCAAAGAGACCTCTCTATTCACTCAGTGCTTCTGAGTTGAGGAATGGGTTTGTGGCCACTGCAGTCATTATAACACTGGGTTAACCCAGAGCCCACAGCTGTGAAGACCAAGGCAGCACAGACATCCTTAGACACATGCTGCTATGGCCTGCCTGCCAATGAGGTTTATTACTGGCTCTGAGTTGCCACAGTGCAGCAGTGATACAAATAAAGACCCAAAGCTGCAGGGCTCCACACAGCACTGCAGCAGATCCAGCAGCTCTATCTGTGGGCATTGGCCTGTGGTCAGGAATGATCAGGTTCTGGCCATCAGGTTCCTGAGGTTATTTCTGGCCAACCATGGCAGGTTAGTACTGAGTTATAAGGCAAAGTCCTGCACTTACTTCTCTCTCCTTCCCTGCCAGTGGATAGAGTCACTTTGCACTGTGCTGCCCAGGACTCACAGAGAAGTGGTAGAAGCAGTTTCTTGGTTGCCAAGTCTGGTGCTAATCTGGGTTACACCCAGATCCCATGCTGCCAGGACCAATACAGCTCTGGGTGCTCTCTAGCTTATATGGCCTATCTCTTAGTGGGGTTCACTCATGGCCTAAGGCCACTGTGGGAGGCTAGTGGTGCTGTGAGCTGGAACACAAGACCATGGTTTGGGGCCAAAGTTTTCTGCCTTGTACTGGGGTGAGGCCAGAGGTGCCACCCAGGGGCCATGGGTTTCTGCCTAGTACTGGGTTTTGCCATGATGGTCCCAGCACTGAGCTCTGAACCAAAGTCCTGTATGCACTTCCCACTCCTTCCCCACTGAGGGTGGGCTGTGTCTCTCTCTGTGCTGAACTGCTGAAAGTTGGGAGTTGGGTGACACAGGCAATGGGACTCTGTCCTTCCTACCTATGTGACTGTCTCCTTTTTATTATGTCAAAACCAGGTACTATAATCTCTCACCTGAACTCCTTGGCTCTTGTGAAAATTATGTGTAGATAGTTTTTCAATTTGATGTTTCTGCAGGGAGATGTTTCTGAAGGGTCTCACCAATTGCTTCATTCCCTCATCTATAATGATTACTTCCAAAGACACTCTTCTGATCTTTCTAGGACTGATTCTAATGTGTCCCACTTTTTAAAAATTTATTTTATTTTTTAGAGACAGGGCTTACTCTGTCACGTAAGCTGGAGTAGAGTGGCATAATCATACCTCACTGCAGCCTCAAACACCTGGGCTCGAGAAATCTTTCCATCTAAGCCTCCTGAGTAGCTAGGATTATAAGTGTGTGCCACCACACCCATCTATTCATGTCTCCAACCTTTAAGAGCTTTCAATATTAAATATTTGGGCTCAAGTGAATTTAAGTTTTGGAGAGTACATCTCTCTTGTGCAAAACAGAAACAGTGGTGTTCCTATACATGAAAAAGGGAGAGAACAGCACTGCCCACTGTTCCCCAGGTATCAAGGGCTGGGTTCCCTTCCTGTGAGTTCAGCTCATCCTATTCAGACACAGGAAGTAGACACAGATGAAGGATCCAAGTTGTTGACCATTTGGAGGTGAAGGGGTGCTCAACGCTTCATTTCATTTTTCTCTAATTCTTTCTCTCCTTTTATAGGAGTTGAGTGATATTGCTCTGCTGTGGAAACCATCAGTTTCCAACCACCTTCTCCATCAAACCTTATGTACTCAAGTGTATACATAATGTGTGTTCCTGGAGTCTCCAAATCAAATGAAGTAGTTCCTCTTGACTACAAATTAGATTTGTTGAGAGGTGAGGAGTAAAAAGGAGGACAATGAAATTAATAATTTCCCCAATTTATGATATCATCATTCTTATTACAATGAAGAAAAGTTTATCGTGATTTTTTTGGAAAAACTGCTTCACTAAAATACTAGTATTTTTCTTTTCAGGAGAATCTACAGCCCTTTATAAGCACAATGGTTGTAGGATGGAGTTTCATGAGGGTGACACAGATGGTCTGAGGTAGAGGTGGCTCCACTAAATGGAGTGCAGTATGTGTAAAGGACCCTGTGCCCACATCATCACCTGGAAATGGCCTTCCCATATTAGTATGACTTCAAGTCCTCATGGAGGTCCAAGATCAAGTGGTCAAATAACCTGGCTTCTAAGGTGGCCACCAGCTTGAAAGCAAAGATGTGCTGAGATATCCTCTATAAATCACATTTGGCAGCCCTTGTGGAATAAGACAGTTGATGTATTTCGTTTTGAATGGTAAAATCAAGGGGCTTGGATATGGAGATTCAAGTTCCCTTGAATGGGGACATGACCACATGAGGGACTGGCAAGTGAAAAGTTTGTAAATAATGTGGCTCTCAGTTTTGGAAGACATTTGTCAGTATTTTGTCCTTCTGAGTTCATGCAAGATCGTTAGGATGCTTGTGCCCCAATATTCTCATGTTTTTCGTGATGAAAATGTTTGTGTGTGTAAGTGTGTATATATTAAAACTCTAACAATGCTATGTGCAAAGTGAGAAAACACAGTAACCCAAAAGTAGAAAGTGGGAGGTGAGGAACAAACACAATGAGTTTGTGGTCAACTGATGACCTCATATCCAGACTCAAAGTCACACTTCAGAGGCCCCACAGCTCTCGTCATTGATGCCCTCAGTTTATCACCGATGATAGAACCTCATACACAGAGCAACAGAGCTGACCCCTATGATCCCCACACTGTCCTCTACCTTGTCCCTTTCACTGACCCTGTTGAAAATCAGTCACCTGTACAACTTTCACTGTCTTTTTTTTTTTTTTGAGATTGAGTCTCACTCTGCTACCCCAGGCTGGAGTGCAGTGGCATGATCTTGGCTCACTGCAACCTCTGCCTCCCAGGTTCAAGTGATTCTCCTGCCTCAGTTTACTGAGTAGCTGGATTACAGGCACCTACCATAATGCCTGGTTAATTTTTGTATTTTTAGTACAGATGGGGTTTCACCATGTTGGCCAGACTGGTTTCAAACTCCTGGCTTCAAGAGATCCACCTGCCTCAGCCTCCCAAAGTGCTGATTATAGGCATGAGCCACCACACCCAGCCAACTTTCACTTTCCATTTTTGAGTATTTCCATCATTAATTGCACCAATGGCTGCCTCCCTTCAGGCTGTCTCCAGCTTTGTTAATCTCTCAGGGTAGCAGTGGATATTCAGGGAGACCCAGACTTGTTATAAGAGCCAGGGAGCATCCATGCCGCATGAGTGCTGATGTGGCATTTCCCAAAGTATTTTCTGAGAGCTTATTTCCGAAGATGCTCAAGTGGAAAGCTACCCAGCCTGGAACACTGCCAAATTTTCCCGGCTAAGGATCACAATGGACATTTGCAATATCTGAATTTATTTAACCTTGGGACCTATTTAACAGATGATATTTGTTAATATCTTGAGTCTCTTGTGTTCCATAGGGCACCTTCTGGAAAGCACTGAGTGTGTGCATCTGAAATCTTTATTAGGATCTATGTCCCAGGGAATCCAGTAAAGTGAGTGAAATGTGCTTTCTGCCTCTGTTGGTCTCCAACAGCATGAAATTTATGGTTTCCATCCTAACTTTCCAGGTGAAAGGAATGTTTTTGTGACACAGAATCTTGTGGTAAGTCCTAAAATAAACATTCTGTTCTTGGTGTCGGACTCCAGGTCTCTGGAGGTCTGTTCCACCCTCTTCCTTATCCAGCCAAGTTCCACCATCTCCCCATTTCATTAATCATTTCCTTCAGGAAGTGTCCCCTCCCCTCTACTTCCAACCAACCTAGCCTCCTCCTCCCCAACCTGGAGTAAGAGCCCCTCTCAATACTTATCTCCACCATCATTCAAAAAATAAATGTAAAAAAATACTTCTTCCTTACTTGCTAGGTGATGGGCATGAGGGACTGTGTTAGCGGGACTTCCGGGTCGGCTGGGAGTTTTGTTTCCAGCGCAGGACCTGCTAGGTGTCTTTGTTTCCATTTTGCCCGCCGCTGGCCCTTAGGGACTTCATTTAAAGGCAGGAACCTTTCCCTCCTCTGGTCCTTGGAGGTGGAGGCTCAGTGACTCAGGGTTGTAAAACAGTAGCCAATCCGGTAAAGGATTCAAAGATCAATTAATCAAGAGGAAGTTTGAAAGAACCTCTCTCATTGGATGAGAGCATGAATGGGGAGGAAATAACTCGGGTAAAAGTTCTAGCAGTCCCAGCCTGGAGGGGTATCCTCTCCTGGTCACCTTCTATTGAGTGGAAGCTGTCTTTTCGCTCTGCCTAATAAACTGCACTACTGCACATTGTTTGGGTCCGTGAGTCCTATTTGAACTGTAACATTCACCACGACACCGAGGCCCCCCTTCCCATTCCTCTGCCTGAGGGAGGCCAAGAACCTGCAGCAGATCTGGTTACAAGCACACAAAAGTGATGAAGAATACTCGTGATTAAATCTCCAACTAGTATATTTTCTCTGTGAGGAAAGTATTGTATTTTACTCATCTTTTAGCCTTAGTACCATGCAAGCACATAGTAGCTGCCCAATAAACGCATTTGCTACATCATACTTATTACGTATATGTACAGCCAGCTCCTAACATCTTCTCAGAAATCAAAATATTAACTACTTAGATAAATTAATTTGTATATTAATAGAAAGTGACTGGGTTAGTTTTGTGCAGTGGCAGTATCATAGCCAATGAGGTTTATCCAAGGTGTGATTATTGCTAATTGAAAAACAAAAAAGAAAATGACTGGGGTATAAATAAGTACTCTTCCAGTCTAATAAGTGAATATTAAACATTCAAGAGATGGTCATCCTAAAGACATTACTCCACATTTGCTATCTAGGCCATGACATGTCAACACAAAAGGAGATGGTTACTTTGCCAATCACCTCCCTGTGGTTTAAATCCGCATCAGGCTCCTCCTCCAGCTGTGACAACAAGGATGCCACCGTGTGTGCAAAAGGGTCTGCAAGTCTCCATCCCTCAGGCTAAATTAAATAGGGTTCCACACACCCTTACCATGTCCAGCACTCTGGAAAGATTCAGTTTTCTTTTACATTTTGAAGTAGAATTGTTATTGTTCCAGTTATAAAAAAATAAACCGAATAAATAAGTCAAGCAATAGATGGAAGGAAATATTTGCAAATGATTTTTTTGTGGAAAAAAACTTACTTATTACATGTGTGAGCTAGTGACCAGAATATAAACAGAACTCTCAAAACTTGCAAGAAAATAAATACAATTAGAAATCATGTAGACATGAATAAACATTTCATCAGAGATAATATGCAGATGTCATATAAGAACATTAGACGAGGTTCAATATTATTATCCTTTAGAGAAATGTATGTTAAAACAATGTGAGAGCAATACACTTCAGTCTGTATGGCTAGGAGGATTTAAAAAAACAGAAATTCATTAATGATGGGAATGTAAAATGAAAGTCATTCTGGATAACAAAGTGCTATTTTTGTTAATTTTAAACTTGTAACTATCCTATGACCTGGGAATTTCATCCTTGACATATTTTCCAGAGTAGTGAAAACATTTATTCACACAAAACCATGTACATGAATGTACACAGCACTTTTAGTCATAATAGCCAGACAATGACTGAAAACAACAATATGTTCTTGAATGAGTGAAGGGTTACACACAATATTTCATGGTAACATCCACAACATGAAAACCCACAGCAATAACAAAAGGAATGAACTAAAACATAAACCAATGTAAATGAATCTCCAAGGAATTATCTTGAAGGAAAAGGGCCAATTACAAAAGGTTGCACCAGTTATGATTTCATTTATATAACAATATTGGAAAGACAAATTTTCAGAAATAGAAATTAGTGGTTTCAAAGAATCAGAATCAAAGTGGGTATGGTGGAGAGGAGGGAAGTGGATGTGTTTATAATAGGAAAACAAGTTAATCTGATGGGTAAACCTATACATGTAATAAAATTGCACAGCACCCAGGTGCACACACACACAAATGAGAAAAAACATAATCTGGGAAAATGCAAATAGATGAGTAGGTTAATTCTATTACTGTCAATATCTTAACTGATATTGTTATAGTCTTATGATATTTCACTAGAGTTTTTTAGAGTTTTTAATAGTTTTATAATATAAATAACCACTCTATTCTCTCAGCAGTGCTTTCCGCAAGGCCAAGTCTGAAGTACTCTCCATAGCTTATCTCATTTAGTTCTTGAAACAATCCTATCCTGTTAGACTTCTTAGAACCACAGGTTCCAACAAAGCAAACTGAAACCCACAAATGTGAAGGGACTTTCCTAAGACATAGATAACAGGTGGCTGAGTCCCCCTTCTGCTAAGGAGGGATGGAGCATTCACCATTTGAGCAGGAGGTACAGGACCTGTTGGGTGGGGGTGAACTCTCTGTAGGTGCACAGGAAGGAAGATGAGGACATAAAAGAGGTGGCAGCTATAGAAGTTGGGCACCAGAGGTTCTTCCTGCTGCCTCACCATGCCTGCCCTGATGGAGTCCACCTGCAGGTCTCATCCAGATTTAGCACTGATTTATTTCCACACTCAGTGGGACAAAGGAGGGATGATTAAAACAATGAGCCCTAGCAAAATGGAAAAACACTCGTGGTCATAACATGAAGTGAACGTAAAATATAAATAATTTGTCCACATATTCTTACAAATATGTGAAAGTTGATTTTATGCCTGAACAGCACTGGAGTGAAATGGTGGGGCTGAAGGAAGGAAACAGATCCAGAGTCCCTTGGATTAAAACTAAATAGGGAAAGCCCAGGCACAAAGTCCCATGAGTCATCAAGGTGGAGTCCTGGCAGTCTCAGCCATGTCTGGGCCCTGGTTATAGAGACCATCTCTATATCCACACCCCAAGCGAGGCAGCAATGGCCATTGTTGAGAGCATGGTACACTGGCCCCTCACCCAAGTAGTTGAAGTGTCCATCCGTTCTTTGACTATGTTCTGTGTGGGGCTCTGCAAAGACAAACCAGCAGTTAATCTTGCAGGCAACAGAGCCCTGCTTGTCTATCCTGGCTTCTTCTGTCTAGGAGTCTTTCCATTCCCCAAATCAGCCACAGACCAGTATCTACTTAGACCTCCAGCCAGGGATGAAATGAGATGATAGTTCAAAGGCTCAGGATGAACTGAGACAGATGGACACCACCTAGCACTCCCCTCATCCCCTGCCAACTGTGACCTGGGATGTGAACATGATGGGCCCACCAGGCTTCTGTCACCCCAACAACCTGCTCCTTTCCAGGGTGTGTCCTAATGGGTCCTTCCTGGCCCATTAGATGGTCAGAGGTGTTGGGGTGAAGGCTAAGCCAATATCTACAGTACCAGAAAGCCTCTTACTCTGGGGTTTCCCTGAGGCCTGGACCTTGGGAAGTTAGAATAGAGCAGATGATCATCTGGCTCTTCTACAAGATTCCAGCTGAGGGAGCTGGATAGGAGGCTGTATTCAGAATGTGGGTGCCTGGTTACCAGAGGGCTAAATTCTGTTGGGTTCTATTGTTAAGTAAGATAGCTTTCTTAGGTCATCTTATCTGGGCTTTAACCTCAGACTAGACCTCCCCAAGGGCCCCTCAGGCTCCTGACTGCTTATTCTCTACCCACATGCCAAGTCCATCACTGTATATAGTTACACCATGCAGCCTACTCTACAGCCCATGGAAAAGTCTAGCTGCAGCCAATGCCTAGTTTTGAGGAGAAAGAGGTAGGTTCACACTTGTGGTTTCCCAAGCCTACTTTGTTTGATATTACTGTAGCTACCACACATCACATTACTATTTGTACGGAATATTTTCTTCCTGCTGCTTTCAACCCTTTTGCATCTTTAACTTGACAGTGCCTTGTAGAAAGTATATAGGTGGATCCTGTTTTTAATACATTCTTTCAATGTCTGCATGTTAATTAGAGCATTTAGTCCATTATATTTAATATAACTGATAAGGAGATAATCGTTACTACAAAAGTGAACTGAGTTTTCAGATCCTGGATTAATATTCTTGATATTCCTTTTTAAGATCTCTAAGTATCCGTCAAGAAATACTTTTTCTCTTTGTATGACTTTGTAAAAAGCCATCCTTTTTTGGTCTTAGCAAATATCAAAGTAAAATTTAATTTCAAATCCAAAAGTATGTGAACTCAAATATATAGGAGTCCAATCTTAGACAAAAGTTTAGACCCTGGTCAGATATCTTTTCTATTTCTTTTTAAAAATCTTGTTATTCAAGTACAATTTATTGCTGCAACTTAATGTACTAGAAGTTCTAGCTAAAGCAATTATGCAAAAAAATTGCATACAATTTGGAAGAAGTAAAACTATCCCTATTTGACCTTATATATAGAAAATCCCAAAGAATACACATACTCACACACAATTGGAAGTAAAAAAAATCAGCATATTTGCGGGGTTTAAGATCAACATGCAAAAGTCACTTATATTTCTAGATAACTGCAACAAACAATCTGATAAGAAAATTATGAATTCTGTATATACTAGAACTCCAATGAATAAAATACCTAAAAATAAATGTAATGAAGGAAATTAAAGACATGTACAATGACATAAATGAAACATTGTGAAAGTAAATAAAAAGACCTAAGCAGAAAAACATCTATGTCCATGGCATACAAAGTTTTAAACTCTTAAGATGTCAATACTTCCAATTCAGTTTATAGATTCAACAAAATCCCTCTCAAATTTCAGTACCACATTTACAGAAATAGAAAGACATTTTTCATATTCATAAGGAACTGTAAGGGGCCCCAAATACATAAAATAGTGAAAAAGAACAACAAAGTTAGCAAATTGACACTTTCCAGTTTCAAAACTTCATGAACTTGGATTTGGCAATGGACTCATAGATATGGAACCAAAAGCCCAAGAAACAAAGAAAAAAGATACATGGACTTCATTAACATTTATAAAAAATCTTTGTGATTACAAGAACATTACCAAGGAAGTAAAAAGACAACTACACATTCAGAAAAAGTACCAACAAATTACATACTTGATAACAGTGTAGTATCTACAACATATGAAAATCCCTTACAACTCGACAACAAAAACACAACAAGGACTAAAATAGACATTTCTCTTAAGATGTTCAAATGGTCAACACGCACATATAAGGAATTCAATGTCATGGGATATTATGAAAATGCCAATCAAAACCACTGTGAGTTACCACTTCAAGCTGACTGCAATGGCTAGAATTTTTTTTTTTTTTTTTGCTTGATGTTTTTATTAAAAGAAACTAAAATAATTTATGGGCACGCATTGATAACGAGTTCACTGTACACTCCCATTTTTTGAATGCTTAAATTGAGGCAGAGGGATGATGATTGATTTATTCAAAGCACTTGCCATGTCAGTGGTTGAATTTTGTTGAGATCCTTTATACACTGCAGACCACACTGCTTCTAATGACCTATGTATAATTCATCTCAACTTCATCCAAATTAGGAGCTGACATTTTTTTGGTAACACAAATTATAGCTTCTTGTCAGTAAAAAATCTCCAGTGTGGGAAGTGCAGACTGCTAGGAGGCCCAGTATGCTGCTAACTTTGCTGTTTTTATACAAATTTGAGAGAATCTAATAGTTTGCGACCTTTATGTTGGCACATGTGTCCATATGTTTATTGATGAAGCTGATTTTTTTTTCAACCCAGGTATTTCCTGAGCAAACAGGAAAGGAGATCATTTCGAGGATTTTCTCCAAAGTGATTCAATATGAATTAACAATAAAAATTCATTAAACATATTTTGGGTTCCATCAATTTTTCA